TTTTAAATAAAATGTCAACGATTTGTATTATACAAGTGAATCGAATAACTCTACTTGAAACCCTGAAGCCATTACATTTGATACTATGCGATTCGGGTATCAAGATAGGCCACTATTGATTCTAATAAAGGATCATAAAATAAAGAAGAGAGAACCAATATTACTTGATTTAATTCTTTAATTATATATTATAAGCTGTATTTATTTGCAACGCGGTATTGCAAACAAACACAAATTTGACGGCAACAATTTTAACGATTCGTGGTATATCTTGTAAACTTTTATCACAAAAAGAAAAAACTATTTGTATGGATAGATGTAAACACAGAATGTATTTAGTCATACATAGTTGTATGTGATAAGACTACGTGTAATGAGGAAAGTGCTTAAAAGTCGTAAGATATCGAAACAATAATGGTATCTTAAATGAAGCTGCAAGTAAATGTTTTATAAGCTGTTCGTTTGTTATACGAGAGTCCTAAATTTAGCAAGTTTCTACAGTGTAAGTGGTTTTGGACGTGAATAAGTACAGCTGAAAACATTAAAATTATGCGTTCTTTTTGTTATATATTGAGCTTTGAAAAAATCAAGCAAGATGCCAATTTTTTATAGTTTAATAATCGGAAATAAAAACGATACTAAAAAATTGAATTAAATAAATGTAATAAAATTGCATCAAACTTTATACTTTGCTGCACTACGAACTTTCATACAGATTTTTAAAATATAGAAATTATGTAATCACATGGTTTGAACGATATCCACATATTTGGAAAGATAATTGAGCTTTTGAGTTTCACCATAAATAGAAGTAATTTTATACTTCTATTTATCATTGCAATAGATGAATATAATTTTATATCGATTTTCGAAAAGTGATTGATTGTTTGATTGTGAGTAAAGGAATCGTCTCTCTAGAATTTAATTTCAGTTAGAGAGTAATTAAAAAATAAATTTTGTAAGCTGTTGAATGATGGCATTAATCTTATAAGTTATCAAGGATAGTGTGACATAGTTGTGAGTACTACTGAGTCCGATGCCTGAGCGAAATGGTCCGTTACGCGTGTTTGAATGAGTGGATACAGTAAGCTAAGAGTTCTACCAGTTATTCATTATAACGACAGAATAAGTAAAAAACATGTAAAGAGTTTAATAATACTTACTAATAAAATAAAAAATGCCACTATGATAACGCTTGATACTTTCGATAGGATTATTATCCATGAACAATTATCATTTTGTATTTCTACAAACACAAATGTTTGTTGTATTAGAATTATCATTATCGTCATTTTCATTTTGATAAATGAAGCCTCAATTACTATTTATTT